ATCGGTTCATAATTTGATCCTCACAGCCACTGACGGTGGGGATCCTGTAAAATCAGGATCATCCATAATCCGGATTATAGTGTTAGATGGAAACGACAATGCCCCCGAATTTACGCAATCGGTGTATAAAGTGAGCGTGAAGGAAGACACCCCCGTGGGGAGTGTGGTGCTCCGCGTCACAGCCTCGGACCGGGATGAAGGCGCAAACGCGCGGGTCAAGTATTCCTTTCTCAAAATCTCCGAAAGGTTTGACAAAACATTTAAACTGGATCCCGAAACTGGGGCCATTCAAGTAACGGCAAAGCTCGATTTTGAAGATTTAGCATGGTATGAACTGGACATACAAGCGAGGGACTAGGGCGGACTCTCTGCCCACTGCAAGGCTCTGATAGAGGTTGCTGACGTCAATAATCACGTCCCTGAGATCACCGTCACATCTACCTTCAGTCCCATGGCCGAAGAGTCCCCCTCAGGGGCAGTAGTTGCTATTCTGAATGTGCATGATCGAGACTCCGGGGAGAATGGCGAGGTCACGTGTGGCATAATCCCAGAAAGTCTCCCCTTCAAACTAGAGAGGTCATTTGATAATTTCTACACTCTGGTGACGGATAGAGCCTTGGACAGGGAGCAAGTCTCCGAATACAATATCACTGTGACAGCCTCAGACCGAGGGACCCCTCCTCTCACTTCAAATAAAACCGTCTTTGTAGAAATTTTGGATAAAAATGACAACGAGCCTGTCTTCGATCACAAACACTACACTATTTATATCCCAGAAAACAGCCCCCCTGGCGTGTCCGTGTTTCATGTGAAAGCAAACGATATGGACCAGGGAGAGAACGCCAGAATCACTTACTCCATTGCTGAAGGAGACGGAAGCGAAGTGCCTTTGTCTTCCGCCGTCTCCATTAACTCGGAGACCGGGGCTGTGTACGCGCTGCGCTCCTTCGACTACGAGCAGCTGCGGGAGCTTCGGTTCCGGGTGCAGGCTCGGGACGGGGGGTCCCCGCCGCTCCGCAGCAATGTCTCCGTCAGGCTCTTGGTGCTGGACCAGAATGACAACAGCCCGCACATCCTGCACCCCGCCTCCCCCAGCGATGGCTCCACGGGAGTGGAGCTGGCCCCTCGCTCCTCCGAGCCGGGCTACCTGGTCACCAAGGTGGTGGCGGTGGATGCGGACTCCGGGCAGAACGCCTGGCTCTCCTACCAGCTGCTGAAGGCCACGGAGCCGGGGCTCTTCTCGGTCGGAGTCCACAGCGGCGAGGTGCGGACAGCGCGCTACTTTGTGGACAGGGACGGCCTGAAGCAGAGCCTGGTGGTGCTGGTGAAGGACAACGGGCAGCCCCCTCTCTCGGCCACCGTCACTGTCACGGTGGCGGTGGCTGACAGCATCCCCGAGCTCCTGTCGGACCTGAGCAGCCTCTCGGCTCCCGCGCAGCCGCAGTCCGGCCTCACCTTGTACCTGGTGATCGCGGTGGCGTCCGTGTCCTGCGTCTTCCTCACCTTCGTCATAGCGCTGGTGGCCCTGCGGCTCCGGCGGTGGCGCGAGTCGCAGCTGTTGGACTCCTCGAGTGGGACTTTCAGCGGAGTTCCCGTCTCGCACTTCGTGGGCATCGATGGGGTCAGAGCGTTTCTCCACTCCTACTCCCAGGAGGCGTCGCTCACCGCGGGCTCCGGGAAGAGCCAGTGGAAATTTCCTACTGGAAGTGTTTCAAATACTCTGATAGGTCAACAGCCTTCTGAAAAGGCAGGTAGTCTTGTAACTACCGAAGATTCCAATATTAATAAAGAAGGTCAAGTCATCAGCCAGGTAGGTTTCATAGCTTTGTTTTTAAATGTCGAATGTTAGCTTTTAGTACAATAAAAAATCCACGCGCGCGAGTGTCTATAAATATTAAGAATGAATCTGTGCATATACTTCTCAAAACAATGGTTGGCATTCTATGAAGTTAACATTTTTAGATTTAAAATATAATCGCACGAAAGCATGTTTTTTCACTGAACAAACTATCACACTGTATCTCTATTCCGTAAAAAAAAAATCAATTACTTGGTTAATGTATTAATTAATGTAATTAGAATGACTGGTTTTGACATCCTGCTGCATACATTTATTTCTTTTCTCGTCTTCATTTTTGTTTTATTGTGGGTATCTATTTACACAAGTCTTTGATGTACACTATAACTCGGTTCCTCATTTCAGGAGATAATTTAATCACCTGATTAATTTTAAACATCTTCCTAAATCCCATCAATATAAAGTTAATAGATGCTTTCCTGAATACTAGAAACGTTCAGTGTTAATTTCCAGTCTCTCCTTGTGATGTATTCTTTAGTCTCTTAACTAGCACAGAAATTAGTTTGCCTCTAACTTCTGGAAACTTCTTCCTAATTATCCTTTAGGTCATAGAGGAGGAGATGGGCTTTGCTGTGATGCAGAAAATATGTTAACATATGCCTAATTCAGATGCCTGAAGTTGAGCACTCGCAAGTATGATGCTGAATTTGGGCCCGAGAGATTTTAGAGTGGAGTCTAGATTCACAATAAGATTTAGGCACCTTACTTCCACTTCTGATGTCTAAATTACAGAATCAGACCACACTGGAATTCACAAAGCCCTCAGTCGACTACCGCTGCACCTTGTATGTGCTTAAAGTTTCTGGATCTGTGTTTTTCCCAGTTAAACCTCCCTAGCTGCCTAATTTTCTGGTTTTTCCTATGAGTAATTCCACCCCACAAGAAGTATCTGGATGCCTAAACCTCAGAACAATGGGTAAAGATAGGCATTCTTCTGCAGACTTGCCCAACCGGGCCCAATCCGGCAGGCAGGCCCAGACATCACCTACCAGATTAGGTGCTCATAGAAAAATTTACACAAAAGGGCGGAGAGGCTGAACTTCCATGAGTGCTTGGAGCCTTGGAGTTGAGATACTCCTCTAGGATGAGGGGAGAACCTCGGTTCCAGAACCCCTTTTGGCTGAGGGGGAGAAGATTTGTATTGAAATGTGCTGCCTCTGTGCTGAATGCGAGTGTCTTAGCCACGAAGTTATAGGGCATTTTGCTTTGAGGCTCCCTCAGTCTCTCTTGTTGGAGCTGTTTCACTGTGGATTGAATAATGAAAGGATCGCTATGGGGGAGGACAGACAGAGCACGCCAATGGCGCTGTAGCGTGATGGCTAAGCACTCGCTTGTGAAATGTGAGATCCAGGAGCTAGTCACCTTACTCCAATGACTTTTTAAATTTAGTTACCCATAGTGGTCCAGCTCACCAGGGCAGACTGAAGGAGACCTGTATCTGAAAGTCCATCAGCTCAATGGCTAGGCCCGGGAGTATACCGGAAAGCTAGTCGATCTCAATTCACACCTTTTCTACTCCTCAGCTGGAGAGGGATCTTGATTTAGGCTACTCTGAAATTCCACGTGACCGCCCTAATCGCTGGGCTAACCGTTATGAGAGATGTTCAGGTTCTTCTTCCTTCTTCCGTCCCCTTCCCTCAGAGGCAAAGACACCTAACTCCAGAGCGTTTGCAGAGAAGGATCTCAAGCAGGAGGCAACCCGGATTTAGGCAGCTAGCTCCAGAAGTGGGTGGGGCTTAGCAGACACTCCTCCTCCTGGCATTTTTTGGGTATCCTAGGCGAGGAGCCACTTGACTTTTTGAAGCCCATTCTGAGATGCCTGTTTCTCACCATTCATTTTAGAGGGAGCTACGCCTCAAACTCAGGCTTCCCGAATCACACTGATTTCCTAGGTGCTTATAAGTTAGGTGTGCTAATACTGGGTGGTCTGGGCTTAACTTAAATTGTCAAAGTTCTGTGGAACCGACTATCTTATTTGCTCTGTAAAATAAAATAACTGTTTATTGCCACTGTTATTACTACTATCAATACACAGGATACTAGTGATGGTGCTCCTTATACTTTTAAAACGCAAGCACAGGCTAGAAGTAATTGAGTGGGAAGAAGATATTTGCAAGCAATTTTGGAGAATGGCGTTCCGAGTGGAGACAATTTTTCTTCCAGATATACAAGACCATTGGCACCTCTAGGATCAGTGTGATTTCTCTTACGGTTTAATGCTGACACTTAGAAATTTCTGCGACTTCTCTCAAAATTTTAAGAAAATATTTGAAATTTTGCACAGGAACGAACAAGATGTCAATTGACTTGGGGTAAATCTTCACAGTCTTTAGTGTTTATCAGTTATACTTTAGCTATTGCATTGTATTTTTCTTGTTTCGGTGGAACTAGGATTATGCCTTTCTTTCTGTTCAAGAGACAGGATAGGAGGGTCCTATATTTTATTAGACCAAAGAAGAACTCGTTCAAGCTCCAATGTTTGTGTCTCTCACCAACAGAAGTTGGTTCAATAAAAAGTAATACCTCATTCACTTTGTCTCGCTAGTCTCCTGGGTCCATCAGGGCTACAACAACCTTGATTTCTGCTAGTGCGTTGCCATTCGTTTCAATCTTACTCATTGCAAAGGATTTACAAAAAGAGGTGTCGTAATAGCACTGATTACATTTTCCCATTGTGCCTAATTATACTGATGTTAGTAAAAGGAGCTCTGTCACACTTATGTTCTGGCAGAATGGAGAATGAATAGGGGCTATGGTCTGAGCTGATAATCTCACCTTCTCTCCCTCACACACGCACTGTTCCACAGAATTCTGGAATACATTAATAACTGTAGCGTAAGGGACACAGTAACATATCTAAACCTCAATTATAAACATATGAAGTATACATTTAAGCCACCTATTTACAATATCTATTTCACCAAGAGTGGAAAGATCTATTTGACGTAAGTTTCAAAATGTTTTACATTTTAAATGTGCACAGAGAATGTACAGAAGAAAAATGTCTATCTATAAACTGCACGGGCGTTTACATTAGCTCAGACTGGCTGCAATTCTCCGGCAGAACCTCAGGGTGCCGCTGTTGGCCAATGCCACGCCAGAGCTGCTGCTGTAGGCTGGCTGGAGCTTCCTGACTGGTGATTGCGCAGTCACACCGCGCAGCTCCGAGAAGAGAAGCGGCCGGGGGATTTCACACGGTGCAGCTCAGCTAAGAAATCATCCCTCTGGAAAGGGACAGGAAGAGAGAACGGCGCGATTTTAGTGCTCCTCATTAATGCGAGTGTTTCGTCCCAACGGGAATATACAAAGCGCTATCTCGGATTCTCTTCGGCACACACCGGACCAGAAATCCAGCGGGGCCGGGATGACGTCACAGCGGAGAAAGGTCGGCGGATTAAGACTGCAAGTACTGTCCCCCTGGTTATTACTTTTGTTCAGCGGCGCGCTCTCAGAGCAGGCCTACTATTCAATTCCCGAGGAAATGGGAAAGGGGTCCCTTGTGGGCAATCTGGCTAAGGATCTGGGTCTGAATATCAAAGATCTGGGACACAGGAAACTGCGAGTTGTCTCCACAGCGACAAACCAGTACTTTAGAATCAGTACAGAAAATGGGAATTTATACGTAAATGATAGAATTGACCGGGAGGAAATATGTGGGAAAGCGTCGCTTTGTGTTCTAAAGTTAGAAGCCGTGGTTGAAAACCCATTAAACATTTTTCATGTGAATGTTGCAATCGAGGATGTAAATGATAATGCACCCAGCTTCGGCAGGGATACTGTGGATTTAGAAATCAGTGAATCCACCTTGCCAGGAGCAACATTCCCTGTAGGGAGTGCCTTGGATTCGGATGTCGGGAGTAATTCGCTGCAGAATTACGACCTCAGCTCGAACCAGTATTTTATCTTGAGAGTGAAAGAGAACAAGGATGGAAATAAATATGCTGATTTGCAACTGGAAAAACTTTTAGATCGTGAAAAGCAAAGTTCCCATCTCTTGATCCTGACATCTGTAGATGGGGGAGATCCAGTAAGGACTGGGACAGTTCAGATTAGGATTAATGTTACTGACGCCAATGACAATCCTCCCATATTCACTGAAAACGTGTACAAAATCAGACTCCGGGAAAACCTACCAAAGGGCTCGCTAGTTCTTCAGGTGAAAGCCAGTGATGCGGACGAAGGGTCCAATGCGCGAATTACATATTCGTTCAGCAACACACCAGACCGTGTACGTCAGTTATTCTTTCTGGATCCCGGAAACGGAACCATTACAACTAGCGGTATTATTGATTATGAAGAGGCAACCAGTTATACCCTTAGTATGGAAGCCAAAGATGGAGGAGGACTAGTTGGCCACAGTAAAATTGAAATCGATATTACAGATGAAAATGACAATTCCCCCAAACTGACACTTACCTCTGTGTCCAGTCCCATTCCCGAAGATTCTCTGCCTGGGACAGTGATCGCTCTGATCAATGTATATGATAAGGATTCTGGAGAAAATGGCCAGGTCAGCTGTCTCATTAAAGAGGACTCTGCTTTTAAAATAATATCGTCTTCCAATAATTACTACAAGCTGCCATTGAAAACACTTTGCCTTTTAAAATAGTGTCCTCCTCTGCTAACTACTATAAAATAGTCACTGACCTACCCCTGGACAGGGAGCGGGCCCCGGAGTACAACATCACAATCACGGCCACAGACAAGGGCTCCCCCCCGCTCTCCACCCAGAAAACCATCCTCTTGCAGATCTCGGATGTCAATGACAACGCCCCTGTCTTCGAGAAACCTTCCTACAGCGCCTACGTGCCCGAGAACAACCCCTCGGGGGCCTCCATTTTGAGCGTCAAAGCCTCAGACCGGGATCTGGACGGCAACGCCCGGGTCACTTACTCCATCCTGCGCAGCAGCATCCAGAAGCTGCCTGTCTCCTCCTACGTGTCCATCAACTCCCAGACCGGAGCGCTGTACGCGCAGCGCTCCTTCGACTACGAGCAGTTCCGGGCGTTCGAGCTGCAAGTGAGAGCCGAAGACGGCGGGTCCCCGCCCCTCAGCACAAACGTCACCGTCGGCGTGTTTATCCTTGATCGGAACGACAACGCCCCTCGCATCCTGTATCCCTCGCTCGGGCCCGAGGGCTCGGCCGTGTTCGAGATGGTCCCTCGCTCTGCCGAGGCGGGTTATCTGGTGACGAAGGTGGTGGCGGTGGATGCGGACTCGGGACACAACGCCTGGCTCTCCTACCATGTGCTGCAGGCCACGCAGCCGGCGCTCTTCCAGCTGGGGCTGCACAGCGGGGAGATCCGGACCGCGCGCGCCTTTGCGGACAGAGATGCGGTGAAGCACCGGCTGGGCGCCCTGGTGAAGGACAACGGGCAGCCGCCTCTCTCCGCCACCGTGACTCTGAGCCTGGTGTTCGCCGAGAACTTCCAAGAGGCTCTTCCGGAAATGAGCGACCGGTCGGCTGAGTCGGCGCCGCAGTCTGATTTGCAGTTCTACTTGGTGTTGGCCTTGGCCTTGGTCTCGTTTCTCTTCCTCCTGACGGTGACACTGGCCATTGCGGTGAGATTGCGAAGGTCGAGGCATCTCCCTGTTTTGCAGTGTTTCGCTTCTGATCATTCTTGCAACTCAGGTCCTGTATTCGCACCAAACTACTGCGATGGAACTTTACCTTACACCTACAACCTGTGTATGGCCGCAGATTCCGGAAGAATTTACTCTAATTTTCTAAAACCGAGTCGCCAGGATAGTGCTGGAGACACCAACCTTTCTGATGAGAACTCTGTCATGATATTTCAGAAAAAGAATGAAGCCACACCCGAAAAGGATAGCATTCCTCCGGTATGTTTGTGCGTTGATTTGTTTACTTTTTGCCATAATATAATCTGGTTAATATAAAGACGTGTTTTCTGTTTATAAGAAAGATTTGCGGACCAAGTACGGTTATGTACGCAGTGGAATAATTAGCTTTTTTTAAAAAAAATAATTCACTGTTTATTTCATGAGGGGCATCATATGTTTTTGTTACATGAATGTTAAACTGTTGAAAATATCAGTTAAGAAATTGTATTCGATTTATCAGCTTTTTTCTCTTCCTCTTTCACATTCGTCAATCTTCACTGTATAATAGGAGAGGGAGATTCTCACAGCCGAGTCGTTCTTTTAAATTGGCAAATCTAGGGAACCGTCCCAGACTGAGGTGTCAGTACAGAAGGCTTTGGAACACATTGATTACTTAAATCAGGAATGGGAATCTTTTTTCGGGTCCGGGGTCACAGCCCCATAAAAAATCAGTCCGAGGCCGCACACAAGTGAGAAGAAAATAAAACCACGTCCCACATCATCCTTGTACACCAGAGCCTATGAGGCCTCAGCCTAGTAGAATTTGTGTGTGCCAGATCCATGGGGTCCCTGAGCCTTTGGGGGCAAGGTCCAGGCAAGCCAGGGGCCGCATCCAGCCCCTGGGCCTGAGGTTCCTCACCCCTACTTTAAATCGTAAGTTCCCAGTGCCAGGTCATATTCACCTTCCAAGTCTGAAGGAACTCAAATAGGAAATTGCAGACCTGCTAACTGTGGTGTGTAATTTATCCCTTAAATCAGCCTGCCAGCCAGATAACTGGAAGATAGCTAATGTAAGGACAACTTTTTTAAGACATCAGAGGTGATCCTGGCTATTGTAGACCGGTGAGCCTACACTCAGTACCTGATAAATGGGTTGAAACACTAGTAAAGAACAGAAAATCAGACACACAGATGAACAGAAAGTGCTGGGGGGAAGTCAAAACATGTTTTGTAAAGGAAAACCAGGCCTCACCAACCTATTAGAATTATTTAAGTCTGTCAACAAGCATATGGTTAAGTGTGATCCAGTTGATACAGGGTACTTAGATTTCCAGAAAGTCTTTCTCAAGGTCCTGCACCAAAGACTCTTAAGCAAAGTAGGTAGTGAAGGGATCAGAGAGTGGGTCCTCTCCTGGATGGGTAACTGGTTAAAATATAGGCCATTTATTCCTATCCTTTGTTTTGTGTTTTCACTAGAGAGAGAGGTAAACCGAGGGATCCCCCAGGGATCTGTACTGGAACCATTGCTATTCCACAGATGTATAAATGATCTAGAAACAGGATAAACTATAGATGCAAAGTCCAGTACAAAATTACTCGGGATAGTTAAGTCCAGTGCTGACTGCTAAAAACGTAACAAAAGGCACAAGACTGAATGACAGGGCAACAAAATAACAGATAAATGCAATGCTGACAAATGGAGAGTAATGAACCCTGGAAAATGTAATTTCAGTAATATATACAAAATGATGGGGTCTAAATTAGCTCAAGAAAGAGTTCCTGGAATCATGGTGAATAGACCCCTGAAAACATCTGCTCAATGTACAGGAGGAATAAAACAAACAACAAACAATGCTGCCTGCTTTTCTTCCTGTTCCCCTGACTATCAGGGAGCGAGTGGAATCTAGGGGGCTTGTGTGCCTGCCTGTCACTCCTGGCAGGGGAGGGGAGAAGCAGAGACGTAATTCACGTTTCTCCTCACTCCCCGATAGAGAAGCAAGCAGCGTCCTGGTGTGCAGGGGTGCTGCCCCGACTCCCCTCCCCAAATGGCGCCCTTGATAGAACCAACTCCTTCCACCAGCGCTTTCTGCTCTATGGCGGGCCGCCAGTCAGCGCTTCTCCCTTCCATCGCTTACAGCTGTGGGAAGAAGCAGAGCAGGCCTGGGTGGGGCCTGGGCAGAGGGGATAGTGTCTCTCAGCAGATTAGAAACTGGGCAACTATGTTCCTGAACCTGCATCCTCCTGAGGAGGGCCCTGGTGTGACCCAGTATGGCCATTCTTATATTCTAATCACTAGAGTCTTCTCTAACGGGTGAGGAAGGAGCCCTGTTGTTACGTCATATATGATCATACCATTAAATGGTGAATTGACAGATAGCTATAATAGGAAATTAGGTTAGACAGACACACACACAGTTAGCAAAATTGAGGTTGGACGGACAATTGGGAGAATGGAAAAATTCTAGATATGTAAGCATTCGGTTTGTAACTTTAATTGCCTTTTAGCCTCTTTGTGGTGTTATAAAACTTTGAATTTAGGAAACACAATTTTCTACTGTTCAAGTTCTTATTTCTACAATGTAAAGTTGCAATCCAATTTCAACTGCATAGAGGTGGGGTATAAGCGTAGCCTGAGTTAAAGAAGACTCTTTACAAGACCTTGTTTTTAAGAAGCTCCCCACATTTAAATATTTCACATTTTGTGCTGAAAATTAGCATTCGTTGCTTCTAGCTGACTTTTAAGATTTCTAACAAGTTGGGACAAAAACGAACCACTTTTGAGGCCCAGGACAACGAAAAAAATCTCACAAATATTTCTATTATAAAATCTCAGTGCCTTTTCAAACATCATTAGCGCTGATTGGGAAAGGTTCAACACTGACGCCTTCGGGCAGATTGTATTTAGATTAAATTAATTTTATCGTTCTCATTAAATTAGTTCTATTTGGTCAAACTATAAGGTTTTTAAAGCAATAGTTTGCTTTTGAGTGTGATGAGGGTGATGGTGGTGAAAAAATGCTAACTTTTTAACCAAGGCTTCCTTTATTCAAAATATTAACTAGCCATTGCTAACCAAAAGAAGCAAAGCTGCATATAGTTAAACCAAAAAGGCCTTTCCCCTCTTAATGAATCAACTTTCACTTTTTTTCTTCTTGGCATGTCATCCTGTATAGTAGCTCTCTTGAGTCTTACAGTCTAAGAAGAAACTGAGTTCCTTGTGTAAAAAAACAAACAAAAATACTCCTCTGTTCTTTGTACAATACCAAGGGAAAATATTTGTTCTCTTTTTGCAGACCTTCAAAGTCTGATATGACCAGCGGACATTTCTGGTCACTTCAAGTAAATAAACATGCATTATTTTAAATGCCCCTCCTTTAGAAAATATTATTCTTTGTCGTTTAGGAGAGATTTTTCTCTTACTCTCACATTAGTCAATAATCCCATCATTTTATACTTATTTGTTAATTAAAATATTCAGATTACTGATGGCATAGTGTGTGAAAAGTTTTTGTTCCGCAATGCAGCAATAACATCTCTAAAATATTATATGATCATTTGGAAAAGAAGAAGCTATTTATTGTCTTCGTTGACAATAAATAGCTACATTTTTCATGTTATATTTGAAATATCTTTTTTTTTATCGAATCCTCAGTTCATTACAGCAAATCAAAATCAGGGGAAATGATTATTTTCCATTTCAATATATTTTAAGTAACGCGAGTGTATAATTACTCGATTTTAAGAAAAAGTTCCCTAATTTAATTATTTCGATCACGTGCCTATCTCTGTTGCTGTTTATCATGTGCTCATTTAAAAAAACAGAAGGGTACATACCTAAATGATTAACACAACTAGGCACCATAAATTCAGGGCACGCAAGGTGGATATTTATCTGAGCTGATGCAGTTATTGTTTGAGACTCTGAGCGTCGCTGTTCACCGACCAGGGAGCTAAACGCGCTGGGAGAACCAGCCAGCCCACAAGCGCTGTTACACAGCGCGGAACACAAGAGCTCAGATTCCCGGCCCGTCAGAGAGATTGTAAGGAAGATTTTGGTAGTGGAATAATCCCTGTACCAGTCTCGATGCAAACAGCAGTTACTGCGGAGACAGAGGACTGGATATAATGCCACAGTACTGACATCGGTGACGGGGAACCGAGTACACCAGTACGAGAAACGGAAATGGCCGATACACAACGACTGCGGGATTGCAGGCAGCTGCTGGCTTGCTTTACGCTGCTTCTCGTTTGGGAGGCAGTTTCTGGGCAGATTCGCTATTCGATTCCTGAGGAAATGCAGAAAGGCGCTTTCGTGGGGAACCTCGCAAAGGATGCGGGGCTGGACACACAAAAGCTGACGGATGGTGGAGTCCGAATTCTTACAGAAGGTAGGACGAAACATTTTGCTCTCAATGTGCAGACCGGCTATTTGTATATTCGTGAAAAAGTGGATAGAGAAGAAATATGTGGCCGCATCTCAGAATGTTTGCTACCCTTGGAGATTTTTGTTGAGGAACAGGTTACCCTTTACACCGTTGAAATTGAAATCGGCGACATTAATGATAACGCCCCAGCCTTCCAAGTAGAGGAATTAGAGCTAAAAATCAGTGAGACCACAAGCACTGGCTCGCGCTTTCTTCTGCCAGACGCACAGGACCCGGATATAGGAAGTAACTCTATACAGAGTTTCCAAGTCAGCAGAAATGGGCATTTCTCCCTGGACGTGCAAACGGGAGCTGACGGGGCAAAATTCGCTGAGCTGGTGCTGGAAAAAATTCTGGACCGAGAAGAACAAGCTGTTCGCGATCTAATCCTCACAGCCACTGACGGAGGAGACCCTGTCAGGTCCGGCACTGCGAGAATCCGCGTTATTGTTGAGGATGCAAATGACAACGCGCCGATTTTCACACAATCTGTTTATAAGGTGAATGTTTTGGAAAATGTCCCCGTAGGCTCCCTTTTAGTCACAGTAAATGCCACTGACCGGGATGAAGGAGTGAACTCCGAGGTAACATACTCCTTCCGGAAGATCTCAGAGAAAGCTGCCAATATATTCCAGCTGGATTCTAAAACCGGGGACGTGACGGTGACCGGGGACTTGGACTTCGAAGAATGTGAATTCTATGAAATAGAGGTTCAAGCCCGCGACGGAAGAGGACTCTCTGCTCGCGCAAGAGTTTCGTTGGTTCTAGTGGACGTAAATGACAACGTTCCGGAAATTACAGTCACATCTCTCGCCAGCTCGATCCCCGAAGACTCCCCAGAGGGAACTTTGATCGCCTTTCTCAAAATCCGAGACCGAGATTCCAGAGAGAATGGTGAGGTCACGTGCTCCATCCCCAGCGGCCTACCCTGTCGGTTACAGAAATTATTTGACAATTATTACAGGTTGGTGACAGACAGCGCACTCGACAGGGAGCAGGTCTCGGGTTACAATGTAACGATCACAGCCATAGACCGAGGAACTCCTGCTCTTTCCACAACCACGTTCTTCCTGTTGAAGGTTTTAGACAAAAACGACAACCCGCCAGTCTTCAACCAGACACACTACACCTCCTACATCGCAGAGAATACGCCTAAAGGCGCTTCCATAATGATGGTGAAGGCGAATGACCCCGACTGGGGGGAGAACGCCCGAGTGACTTACTCTCTGCTGGAGGGCGAGGGCCGCGAAGCTCCGCTCTCCTCCGCCGTGTCCATTAACTCGGAGACCGGGGCTGTGTACGCGCTGCGCTCCTTCGACTACGAGCAGCTGCGGGAGCTTCGGTTCCGGGTGCAGGCTCGGGACGGGGGGTCCCCGCCGCCCCGCCGGCATGTCTCCGTCAGGCTCTTGGTGCTGGACCAGAATGACAACAGCCCGCACATCCTGCACCCCGCCTCCCCCAGCGATGGCTCCACGGGAGTGGAGCTGGCCCCTCGCTCCTCCGAGCCGGGCTACCTGGTCACCAAGGTGGTGGCGGTGGATGCGGACTCCGGGCAGAACGCCTGGCTCTCCTACCAGCTGCTGAAGGCCACGGAGCCGGGGCTCTTCTCGGTCGGAGTCCACAGCGGCGAGGTGCGGACAGCGCGCTACTTTGTGGACAGGGACGGCCTGAAGCAGAGCCTGGTGGTGCTGGTGAAGGACAACGGGCAGCCCCCTCTCTCGGCCACCGTCACTGTCACGGTGGCGGTGGCTGACAGCATCCCCGAGCTCCTGTCGGACCTGAGCGGGCTGACAGCACCCCCGAGCCCCTGTCGGCCCGGGCCAGCCTCTCGGCTCCCGCGCAGCCGCAGTCCGGCCTCACCTTGTACCTGGTGATCGCGGTGGCGTCCGTGTCCTGCGTCTTCCTCACCTTCGTCATAGCGCTGGTGCCCCTGCGGCTCCGGCGGTGGCGCGAGTCGCAGCTGTTGGACTCCTCGAGTGGGACTTTCAGCGGAGTTCCCGTCTCGCACTTCGTGGGCATCGATGGGGTCAGAGCGTTTCTCCACTCCTACTCCCAGGAGGCGTC